GCTGATTGATAGTCATGAAAAAAAAAAAAAAAAAAAAAAAACGGGACCAGAGAAAAGTCCAAATAATCAAAAAGTCTGGATAATCGAGGTCCAGATAATTGAGGTTCCACTGTACTCCTAATCACCTAATCACAAGCTCTGGTTAGGTAACATGGGCCACTTACCCTTTTTTTAATGATCAAATTTTTTATCAGCAGTTCAAATGACAATTTCCCTTTAAGAAGTCTTTTAAACAATTTTTGTACTTTGACAGGCAGAGTCATAAGTAAGGAACCATAAAAAGATAACAGTTACTAATCTTGAGCAATATTTCTGTGAAAGAATGGGAAGCACAAAATTACAGTGAGGTAAAGGGCACCTAATAGGAATAGCACCTATGGCCATCTGAGTACCTCCACTGAAGTTTTGAAAATTAGTCTTCAAATATAAGATAAATTTTCATTTATAGTATTTTTGAAAGAATATAAGTTGGAGGCAGGCAAACAAATAAAATTAATTCAAGAATTTAAATTTATTTGAATTTCCCTACCTACATTTTCTACATTTATACTTCTTATCATTTGAGGCAGTGTTGTCTTTTAGTTCCTCAATCAGAGAAGAGAGAAGATCTTTTGTCACTGACTGCTTACCTAAGTATAAGAAAAATTAAAATATCTTGTAAGTTAAATTTTTGCATATATTTCTAAAATATTCCTTTTCAAAAATTATTCAATACCACATATTATAATCGACGAAAACAACTGAATCTTTGCTCTAAAATGTTTGTCTAACAAATTTCCCTAAACAAACCTGAGGCTACTGTTTTGAAAATTAAAAAAGCTGAGTGAATACTCGAAGTCTATCTATTAGTAAGAGCAAATTTGTACAACCCGTTCATTACGCATGTATACCAAAGAGTTTTCACTAAACGCTACTGAGAAGAACAATTAAGAACAGTTGTGAACGCTTGAATCACTCGTCTGTGAAACAGTTCATGACAATATAAGTTGGAATATACTGGGCTGTTCAAAACAAGTGGATTTTTAGCCAAGTATGAGCCAAGCACATTCTGTGTAGCCAAAAGGTCATGGATGTGCACAAATAAGTGAAGTGCTTTTGAATATAACTGGCTTTTTGCTGATTTTTGTGACTTAACAGTCACCACCACCCCTAAAAAATCATTACCCTTAGTACTTAGTTGATTGAATGAATTTTCAGAACTGTTGTCAATTGTTGTTTCATTAGCATGTGTGAAAACTCATTGGAATTTAACAAAAGGTTATACAAATTCCCTCTAATGTCTGAAAAAGTAAGTATTTCTTCACAGACTTACTCTGTATATGACTGGCCAACAGTTGCAGACGGTACTGTTTGTAAACAGGATGAGTTTTATCAACTGTATTTCCCATTGCTTCGTAAAGTTGAAGTTGCTCAAGAAAGCCAACATTGGGACTAAAAAATATACAAATTAAGCAATCAAACAAGCAACCTCAAGTCAATATAAAATAAATTCATGGTAAATTAATTATTTGAATAAACGTGCTTTTTGTTTCTTTAATGTACATGTTACAAGTGAAGGAGTCTATAAAGGTATTACAACCTATAAATAGTGTTTTCTTCCCAAGAAACTTTCATGTCTTCATAATAATAGTTATGATCATTTCACCTAATATCTTACTTGGCTTTGGGATGAATTTTCTTCATAAAAGCAATGGCCTCATCCACTGACAACTGGTCTGACTTCATCAGATGGGCTAACACAACAGTAGCACTACGTGACACACCTTCAAGGCTGCAGATCAAAGCAAACAGAATTTGTTGGATTCACTACACTTGAATCAAGGAACCAAAATAAAAATTCAGTGGGAAGAGCAAAGATGCAAACATTGCACTTTATTGGAGAGCTGAGGCTGGTTAAAGTTAAACTTTATTTTTTTAACTTTGTTTAAGTCAAGAAAATGAATTAGAGTGCTATACTGGCTAATCACACATGTAGTTGCCAGTTACATAGTACCCTGTTGAGGTTAGCCTTGGTGTAACCATGATATCCTCCCCCCTTCTCACATTATTTCTCCTTGGGGGGAGGGTACAGTTACACATAGGCTATGTTGAGGTCTATGAGAAATGCAGCAGTAATAGTCTTGTGGGGTTATTGCCATGAATCAAGTTAGCTGATATTCATTGTATGAAAAATGGAAAAAGGTAATTTTTTTAATATATTCCAGGATCCCCAATATTCCACGTTTCCTGATTTTAAGCAAAAGCTTCAAGGTTTCACGATCTGCATGTATATATAGTATCACAGTGTGTTTACGGTGTAGATCCGTGAACAAATCAACCACTGAAAATCGTACTAACCAGTGAACGATCACATTTTGCTTGTTTTGTAAGCCTGCTGTGATGAAGTCAGAACATTCGTCAAAGAAACTTAGAAGATCTGCTTCGGGTTCATCTAAGCAAGTGATATGCCTTATTGAAACTCCATCTTTCTCGATTTTGAGAGGTTCACTGTCCACAGTAAGGATTCTTAAAGTGTCATCTGGCAATTTGACGCTTACTAAATTGCTTGCATCATTCCGTGTTCCAATTGAAAGTCCTTCCCTGATGAGAGGCATTTCCATGCGATCAAAACTCGTCCGCCATGTTTTTCTGAGCCCCTTCGGCTATTCTTCGATGCATGTTCGTGAAGAGTCGGAAGCTCCTAAAAATAATACTGCTGGCCATTAACATCACACTCGAGAGATCTTCGCAATCGACAACTATCGGACCAACGATCGGTAACTGACTCCCGACAACTACGAAATGAAAGTGTGCGAGTGTGGGGATAAATGTCTTTCTCATAAAAGAAGAAAAAACAATAGTCGTTAAAGTACCCCTTATCGCGAAATGGAAGATCCGAGAGATGATGATGACGAAAAACCAAGGGAAAAAGAAGTGTCGCCATTTTACAGGAGGGACAATTCACGGTTACTTTCACTGGGTGACTTGTCTCTGGAGATCCTGGTAAAGATTATGTCTTCCTTGTCGCTTAAAGAAATACTTCGACTCGAGACTACTGGCAGCAAGCTTTCACTTGCTGCAACAATTCATTTGAGAACAAGGAAGTCGGTTGATTTTACTGAGGGAAAGTGGTACGGAGAAATGTCTCCATTAATAACAGACGGTATATTTTCGCGCCTGCTTCAACGATGTCCAGAGGTAAACTTTGTGCTCGGAATACATCCTACGTCGCTGACGAAACGTCGACAGAGACACACAGACGTGTTAAGTGTTGATGGAATCACTGCCGCGTTGACCTATTGTAAGAAGCTAAAATCAATCGGCACTTCTAACATACAAGTTTTGGACGCCATGTTGGCAATCAAGCCAAATTTGGAAATCGCCGGTGGTTTCCGTAATAGAGGCGGAGATTTCCCGATCCCTCCAAACAGTTTTCTGTCCATTCCAACCAGAGTGAAGTTATCTCAGCTGGTACTAACAGGTGTAACTGTGCCATCGTTACCCACAATAGAGGGCTTGACAATTCTTCAACTGCGATGGGTTAAGTTTACAGATCATGAACCTTTCAAAGACTTTTCCTGCCCAAAGTTAGAACATTTTATCATGAAAAACTGTATGGGTGTTATTGAAACTGGTTCGTTCAGTCCACGAGTCTGTATTCCTCTTTTCCATGCATTGGGAAGAGCAGCACATCTGGAACGCCTTGAATTGGTGCGGGTCCCCTTCCCAGGGGGTGTGTTTCGGCATGTTGTTGAGGAAAACTGGCGACTAGGCAGCTTTCGATACCTTACAAGAGTATCACTGGCATCATGCTATGATGCCATTGAGGTAGATCTTGGTTATTTAGTACTGGTATCTGCCTTTCGCTTGGAAGAATTATGCATTCAGCCTTCGTTGACCAAGGATGCAGTCTTCTCAGCATTGTTAATGGCTCATGCAGAATATCCAAGATTTGAAAGTCTTCACCTGGGTTACGCTGATGACTTTCCTGAAAAAGGGAAATACACGGAAGAGGAACTCCAACAGCATGGCTTAATGATTGAAAGAGAGCAGACGCCTGCATTGTCTGATAGAGGGTTGAAACTAGCTCTTCAAGTATTTCCACAGGTTCGCTATTTATCGGTCAGCAATTGTCCAAATTTGAGAAATGCAACACTTTGGCCTACGCCAAATTTGACATGTCTGACGATATCTGATTTGACATTTTACAAGTGTAAGAATTTGTCTTTGGATCATTTTTCTCAATTCATCCGTCAGCTGCCAGCCATTCAGTTTCTCAAAGTTCAGAATATGTTTAAGAGAGAATCTACTTGTGAACTTACTGGACCTGATTGTGCTAATTCTAATGATGATGGCCATCTTCTTCTTTCATCACAAGTTATAAAAAGTGTTTTCTTACAAAAGTGTGGAATAATAAAACTGTCAGTTGAAGATTGCCCAAAACTGAGTTCGATTTCATGCACATCATGCAAAGAACTGTCAGAAGTAAAACTTAGGAACTGTTTATTAAATCGTGCAAAGTTTACATTGTGTCCAGCCCTTGAAATGAAAACTCTCCTGGATGAGTTGTACAATTTGCCTGTAAATGCTGGTCGAATAATCTCCTTGAATCCAACAGAATCATTTGATCCAGCTGAACTGGAAAGACAGGTTTTTGAATCCATGGTTGACTATCCTTTTTGTGTGATCAAAGATGAAGGAAACCACGGTTTTTGTTTACAGTTAGGCTGATACTGTTACTGCCATCATTATTGACTTTTAATACTGATAAAACTGTTCAGGTTTGATCATTGCTTCACTTTTGCAAATTATCTTCCTGGTAGTCTACTCTCTGAGTAGAAGCCCTTTGATCTCTTTGGATCTAAAGTAATTCTAGTAAATAGGTAAACAGGATTAGGAGAAGCCCAGAAATACTGACAATTCACTTTTGGTATAAGCCTTGTAGAAACAAGCCTGTTTCATTATTACTCCCTCATCAAAAGCTGATGTTTTGAGTGTTAGCCCTTTGTCGAAGCGAATGACGAAGGGCTAACGCTCAAAATGTCAGCTTTTGTAATCGTTACAGTGGCCAATTTACCGTTTCAACTTTGTTGATATATCCAAATTATTTTGTTACCCCCACCGACGCAGCCCCAAACAGTTTCTTTAGAAACTATCAGCCCTTATACATTTTATTGTCTATTATAACATGTTTTATGTTCAGTAAATGAAATTATCAAGAGCCTTCTTTCTTCACCCCATACCTTGAATGTAAAAAATAATTTACACTTTTGTTTATTTTATCATTTAAATTGGAGAATATCAATTTCTTGGTGTCTCTAATTAGATCAGAGTAATTTGCATCTGGAACTGTAGGGAAATAATTTTTGGTCGAAAAAAAAGTGATTTTCCTTGTTTTACCTCAGATTTTCACAACTTTGTTTTATGTTGTGTTGTTAAGATTTTCCTGCCATAGTGGAGATGAGCTCAAGTAGCTGAAAACAGAGAATCCAACTAAGGAGGTTCTTAAGAGTTTTAAGACCAGTTGCTTTAGATGATTAAAAATGGTTTCTGGACAAATGTATGCAGAAATAAATGAACACAATTTTTCGGCTGCGGTGTTTATGTTTGGGTGAGGAATTGAGCATAGAGCCTGAACTGTACATGTTTTTCTGATTTTTGTTACATCAGCTTGACAAAATCTGTTGAACTGCAAATATTCTATCATTCCCATAGGTTAATGTTTTTGAAAATTGGCTCAGTCCTTACACACTGTTTAAATCAAATGTCCTGTTCGTGTTTAAATCTGTCAGAAGAAATTAAATCTATTAAGAAAAATGGCAAATGAGGGAATATTGGCCAAACCATCTCAATGACCTTGAGGTTTTACCGATCAAATTGTCACACTACAATTTCCATTATGTAGCAAAGAATGAAGACATTTCGCCAAACAAAATTACAAACAATTAAAAGGTATGTAGGCAAACAGTTGGAATATATCTGCCTGTCATTAGTTATAAATATGCCATTGTAGCAACACTGAAAAAAAAAACTGACACTCAAAACGGAAGCCTTATGTTGTTACCCATTCTGGTAAATCTGTAGGGACGTTCTGTAGAAGTGGTTATTCATAGATACTGTACCTGGGGAGCCACCTTTAAGCCACAGAAAAGTCTTGAAATAAAGACTACACATGGATGCACCTCAACATTGCCTCACTAAACTATTCCTCATTGTAACTAGGACAGTATAATAAATTTACCTTCATAGATTAATTTAACTTTTACATGATCATAATCTTCACTTGCCAGTGGTATATAAAGGTTACCATGCACCTTCAAGGGTGTCTCGCGTGCAAGCGATGTAGCGCGTCCGGTTTAAACTATAGACATCTAAACCCCTATATCAAATTAAAGCTTTAAAAGAAAAATTAATTGTCGAATTCTACTAGTCAAGGGGAATTTGTTCGATTGCTCTCAAATTTTGACAGTAGCTAGTTTTACATATAAACAACAAAAACATGTCTCCGAATTTTTTATTTCTAAATCCTTTTTTTTCAAGAGCGATTTTTGTACGCTCCCTTCACATTTTTTTAATCCTATTTCAAAAATGTTCTGTAACTTTTCTCTGAAATTGAATATGGCAAATCGCAGACACATTTTCGTAGCGCCTTGGCCCCGGAAACGGAGAAAGCACTAAATAAGCGAAAAACAAAATTCGCTTTGACATGTAACGTTCAAACGGTGATTCGGGCGCTCACATTTAGAAGTCGGGGAAAATTCGACAATGCATTCTTTTCAAAATTTTTGGTGTAGTCTAATAGCCAGTCCTATAAGCTTTAATTTGATATAGGGGTTTAGATATCTACAGTTTAAACCCGATGCGCTACATCGCTTGCACGCGAGACACCCCTGAAGGTGCACGCTAACCTTCACTAAGTTTTTTTTTTTAAGTAATATTCTAGTATGAATTTGGCATATTTTCCTCAGTTTAAGTTTCACAATGGAATATCTCCATACTAGATTCTTTCGAATAAATTTTGGTATTCTTTTCGTTTTTTGCACCAGGAGTTTAGTAAGAGTTAAACCTGATTTTTAAAGAAGCTTAGGATGTGAAAGAAGGGCGACTACTCTTGTTGGTTGTAACTTTGCCCTCCTGAGTGCCTGAGACTCACAAAACTGTTTAACTTCTTCTCTCCAACTGAAAAATGTTTCATCAACAATTTACAAAAACTAGGGCAAAAGAATGCTAAATCTTGTGTCTCCTCAACAAATATAATGAAAAGTATTTAAACAATATTGTATACTAACTTCTATAAATGTTTTCATTTTTTTATATATCCCAGGAGGCTTTTTGAACGGGCTCATTAGTAGCTTATGTAGGCACTAATTAACAATTGGTTCATGCTTTAGCGTGCACTATCGAGTTATGGAGCACGCGGGAAATTTGGAGAGCACGAAAGAAGCGTAAGAGTTGCCAGAGGCGATAGCCGAGGGCAACTCTAGCTTCTTGATTTGCTGACGCTGTCAGCGTGCACTATCGGGATTTTGAGCACGCTTACAAATATTGAATTTGATTGCGCGGTTCTGCTAGCTATGTTCTAAAATTTGTGTTTAAGTTTTTTTCATGTTTGAAACTTGCAATAGTGCAGAAGGAAGGTTACTTTGCTTGCCATAATTTTGCCCGTTTTATTACATCCATTTTGAAATCCCTGGTGGTCCCTGTAATCTGAT